ATCTGGACCGGCTGCAAAATTCCTGACTGACGCCGGTCCGTACGAATAAACTAGCTCTCTTGCTAAGCCTCATGGCTGCACCACGAATACGGTTGATAGAGGTCACTCCCTCGGGAAATCATTAGAGCTCAGGGAAACCATGCAATCCCAATTAATGGATTTCTCATGAGTTGACAGATCATCAAAGGAACAAAAGCATGGAGTTCTGATTGCAACTGCTGTCCCGCTTCTGCCGTATGGAGTGGTTCAACAGTAATTGTTACCGAGGTGATGAGAAGTGCGTCCCCACAGTGAACCATTACCGAAAGTACCAAGTGACTAGATCGCGTCAGAAAGAGCTAGGACTGCGTTCGTGAAACAACGACCAGTCCGGCATTCGAAGGTTCCTGCTCTACATGTTGTAAAGCGTACCACTAGGAACTCCATTTTCGTGTTGCTCAGATTGACCGAAAAACAACATCTGTGTCCGCAACTCGGCATAACATACCTGCTTCATGAAAACTCAAGGCCCCGCGTTTCAAAGATGACAAAGCTGGAGATCTTGGAGCTTGCCTAGGAACTTCTACCGCACCCGCCAAGCGGCCCTGATTTAGCCACAACGTCCTTCTCTCTCTTAGCACCTAACTTGCAGGCGAGAGTTACGACTCTCAGAAGAACTCCAAAGATGACATCACCTCTTCTTCCAGCTCAGAAAAGGAAGCTTCTGGAAACAGGACATTCACTCTTTGCACAGCCGTTGGCAACACGTCATGATGACGATGCACATATTATTGATTGGTATTGCTTGCTGATGAAATAAATTTGACCCCAAACAATAAGTTCGAAAATGTCGCGAATTTTTGAGACACACTAATATTAACGACCAACTTTTTGTTACGTGCTAGATCGACAAGCACTTGCTGTGTGGCGAACATCATTTCTATGACGAATTTACTTCGTTTCATCTCGATTGTCTGACATTTCTCGAACTCGAACGTCATATCTTCGATGTATGGTGCCCTGAAATAACTGGCATACCGCTTGTAGTTCTGCACGTACATACTTTTTCCTAGACCGGCCCCCCTCAGATTGAAATGAACACGATTGATGAAATCACGTTCTGAGGTGACGCCTACCTTAACGATATGTTTACCCAGCGATTGACTTGTCTTACTTTACTACGTACACGTATTGCCGTGGTTCCGTACACTCAAAAACGCCGGTAATTCTCCATAATATTGTGAGGGAAGAGGCAAATTGAAGATCAGGGTGCAGTTCAGGACATCTGAGTAGAAACATGCCGTTCAAGCAAGCATTCCTAATAAGATATTTTGACACTGCACTTGAACCTTCCAAGCGAAACCTAACAGGTTTATCCGACCATTTGCAATGGTTCTGAGCTGCTTAACTCAAATCTGCCATCGGAATTTGCGGGAGATTGTATGATGCAGTATGTGTTAGAAAAAACGCCACGACTTATGGGCCAAACCAATATTTGGGGCTAGGGTCACCTCGGAGTACAGAAACATCGACATCTACATCGGTTGAGCCTTGGAAACTTGAAAATGAATCCAATACCAAAGTGGTAACGGCGTGCCTAATTGCAATATTCTTCTGAATTCTTTCCCAACAAGGGTTTTAATGAACCAGCTCTTGCTTGGAATAGCTCTTTCAGAAGTACCCGATTCGAGCAAACAAAGCTTTCATGTGTAATATGAAAATTATAGGCGAAACCATAGAAAGTGCGCGACATTGGGTCTGTTCTGAGTTTTTTTTTCTGCTGTTATTACGATAGTATACCTCTCCATGCTGAGATTATGTGAACGATGAACAAGTAACATGTGGTCATTACTGAATGGTGCTGAAACATTTCAGTAGGCACAAAAGCTGGAGCTTCAAGATCTTCTTCCTGCTTGCAGTTCACAGGCAATGCTTGTGTGGGGTACCGTGGTCCCACAAGCAGGAGGTGGTGTAGTGACAAGTGGCGTGCATACCACGTGCACGGCAGGAGGAGGGCAGATTCCCGATCGGCTCACGAACAGGCCAACCAAGTCTTCTACCCTCCGGGGACGGTAAACTGGCACCAGATTCGCCTGAGAGGATGACAACACTGACTTGTACATCAGTTGCCCTCCGCAAGTCGTTCTATTGGCCACATCGCACCCAGCAAGCCGCTACGATTCTCGATGGTGGAGAATGCGTGCTGCAACCCAAAAAGGGATTGATTAATGGCGAAGTTCTCAGATTCTACTTCTACCACACTCTCATAGTCTTTATTATTTTGATCATCTGCGCTCGAGTTGATCATCGAGTTGCTCGAGCGGGCTGCAGTGAAGTCCCCATTCGTCCTTGCAACGTGCTAGACTTGCGCAATGGAGTTCTGTACTAGACGAACTTCGTACTCAGAGCTTTCACGAAGAAGTCTGACCATGCGTAGGCGGACGTCAAGGCCTTATATTGCTATTTTTTCATTTCGAGAAAGGCACCGAAGAGCAGAGAAAGGCAAGAGAGAAAGGCACCGAATAGTGTCGCTCTGTCGCACTCCTCACTTCACGTTGATGATATCTAACTGTAAAATGGTGAGATATTAGACGAAAAGTTGCTGAGAGCATACGACGGATTCCCACGTTCCCAGAGCTTCAAATACCCTGGCTTCTGTTCAACATACCGAAAGCCTTCTCTAAAGACACATGGTACGCTCAAACACATTGAGGGTGTATGAGACTATCAGCCCCCCAGCTGTCGATGTGTCGTGGTCCCCCGCCCAAAACTGCACGGGGTCAGAGTACGGGGCCGTGGGAAAGTCGTAATTCCTTGCTACACCGCCATTTCGCAAACTCACGTTTTTACTAACACCGTCCGCGCGGCGCGGTCGCGTGCAGCTCTCTTGGCTTTTTGCCAAGTCCTGTAATTGCGCTTTGGAATACAAGTACAACGCAATTTCTTTATGCGGATAACATTTTAGGTGCTGCAAAATAAGAACCGAAGATGATGACGAGGGCTAGAACTCAAGAGCAACTGTGCTGCTTCTGCAATATCCCTCGGAGGCCGCGCATTTCCACGAAACATGAAAAAAACGGCCTAAGCGTCCCACTCGTTGTTAAAGTATTTCTATCGCAGAAATGCACACGCGATTTTAATTAATTTGCGTTTCCTTAGTTTTTTCAATTTTGTTTTATTTACATCTACATTTTTTGTTTTATTTACATCTACATTCGTTGTTCTTCATTTCTAGCCTTTGTCATCTTCATCACCTTCTATTCGGACTTTGAATGCGCGGCCTCTGAGGAATGTTGCAGGAAGCAGCACAGTTGCTCTTGAGTTCTGGCCCTCGTCATCATCTTCGGTTCTTATTTTGCAGCACCTAAAATGTTATCCGCATAAAGGAAATTGCGTTTTACTTGTATTCCAAAGCGCAATTACAGGACTTGGCATCGTGAGACATAACGGCATCTTGTACTCTCGCGATACTTCGATGAGCTTCGTTACCGTGTGGATGTGATCGATCGTGCTGAATCCTCTTCGAAACCCTGCTTGCTCGCATGTGTCGACAACAAAATCACCTCCAAGAGTCCCGCGAGAGAAGTGAAGTGATCCCAGTTGATGACGGTCTTGGGCTTCGCTTCTTGAACTTTGCGGCTCTCTCCTCGCATCGAAAAGCGGAATCTTGCGCGAAGGAGACGGTGGTCGGATCCCGTGTAGAACTTAGGAACAACAGCGACATCGGTCAGGCAAAACCTTCGATTGAAGATGATGTGGTCGATCTCATTATGGAATTGTCCACCAGGAGACTCCCATGTCCAGCGTAGAGAGTAGGGCTTCTGGAACTGCGAGTTACCATGGATGGTATGGGTCGACATGATAAACTCAGACAGCCTTTCACCCTGCTCATTCCACTCCATTCCGTGAGTTCCGATGTGAAGTTCTTCGTGGTTTGATCTTAGCGTTGAAATCAACGACTCGTTAGCGAGGCACTACATCACTTTGTGAATTCCCCATCTGGTACACCCTTTTCCCGTACTACTTACTATTTTTCCCCAGATTTTGCCGCGTTGAACAGGGACGGAGAGGGAGGGAGTGGGGGGCAGACACCTCTGATCAACTACACCAAAAGTATTGCGGTGCTGCCTATTAAAGAGGTAGGGAGACGGCGAATGACGCACGTGAATCGAGAAAAATGAAGAATCAGAAAATTTTCTGACGTTAAAAACGAACCCCTCCTCCCTTCAACGGACCTACAGTGGAGAATCTACCAAATACGACTCCGGCTTTTACTATACAAAGAATTTTGAGCTCTGCTCGGTACCTCTGGCACGTCGAATAAGGGAGATGAGCCGCTGGTCAAAGGAGATCACTGCGGCGCGGGTGATTTGATCGGCGCCGCCGCCAACGCTCCCCCCCCCCCATCGATGCCCCGCGTCAGTCTGCCGCGTCCCGCTAAACGCAGCGGTCGTTCCTCCCTTTCGTTTTTCTACTTTGTTTGTTTTGTTAATAAAGTTGTTTTACTGTTCGTGTACGTGTAGCGTAAGCAACGATGGCCGACGAGGCCACAGGTATACTCTCCCTCAACTAGGAAAGAGCCACTTCTTGTACGTTGCTTGTGACAAATGTTAAGCATGATTGTTCTACCAAAAAATCAGCATGCAGCTCGGGCAAGTGCCCATAAAGAAGAATCCCATAACGAGAGAAGCATTGAGAACTAAAAAAATTCTCAAGCATTCGGGCTGCAAAATCCAACCCATTCAGCTCGAATACCAAAAGGTAAGGAGTCTTAGCAACATTACAACAATGCACAACTGTATTCAGTACCTGTATTGAGTGATTTCCGCTATGTTCTTTTCATAGGCTAGTTTACATTTCTGGACGTCTTCGCGACACTTTTCCAGACGATCGCGGAGCTTCTGAGCCGCATCCTGCGACAATGACGAATCGGCCTGGACATGAGACAGGTCTCGATCGAGCTGTTTTCAGTAATTATTATATTAGGTTCTCCTACCTGACTATTGCTCAAATTTACCAGTGCAGACTTTTCCTGGCGACATGCACTGTAATAAGATTTTTTACTCGCTTCGAGTTTCTCATAGAGCTTCTTCCACTTTCTTTGAGCCTAAAGTGGAGAAGTGTCCAGGAGATGAGATGGCACAAAAACACTATACACTCATAATTTTTCGAAACCAAAAACGGTATCAAAAAAAGGGACTACACTTCAGAATAGTGTACCCAAACAATTCAAAACCGAATGCTCACTGATCTACAATACGGTACTTAGTCAAGTACTAACGAAATAATTTGGGTTACCCTATAATCACCTTGTGACCGGATTCACTTTATCGTTGATTTCATTCGAGATACAACACCAGTTTTGTTGAATTTAGGTAGCTGGTCCCCACAAATCCTATCCGCAGCCTCAAGGTGGGCGGGGACGCCTGGTCAAACTTTTAATGCTGAAACAGTAATATATATGGGCGTCATTCCCCCACTGAAGGAACCGCTAAGAGAACGGCGTCGGCTGTCATTTACGACTAGGATGACGATCTGTACTTTCAACGCACGGACGCTTGCATCGGAAGCTCACATCGAAGATCTGATGTTGCAAGCCAGGAAGATCAAGTACGACGTCATCGTCATCGACTGACCGAGGCATCGCCCGCTACACGCCCTATATAAGACTGCATGTGGGCGTCTTCGTCAACACGCACATGGCCATGAACATCGATTCGTACGAAAATCTGACGACCCGAATCGGACGTTTGCGATTGAGAAGATGTGGTTCAACTCCAGCTTTGACAATCTTCGTCGCCTACGCACCAACATCAAGCTACGACGAGGATGAGCTCGAAGCGTTCCATGCAATTGGAGAAGTTCTACAGAGAAAACAGCACCTTCTCCAAAGCATAGCCGTTGATTTAAACGTTAGGATTGAACCAAGAAGAACTTCACATCGGAACTCACGGAACGGAGTGGAATGAGCAGGGTGAAAGGCTGTCTGAGTTTATCATGTCGACCCATACCATCCATGGTAACTCGCAGTTCCAGAAGCCCTACTCTCTACGCTGGGAGTCTCCTGGTGGACAATTCCATGAGATCGACCACATCATCTTCAATCGAAGGTTTTGCCTGACCGATGTCGCTGTTGTTCCTAAGTTCTACACGGGATCCGACCACCGTCTCCTTCGCGCAAGATTCCGCTTTTCGATGCGAGGAGAGAGCCGCAAAGTTCAAGAAGCGAAGCCCAAGACCGTCATCAACTGGGATCACTTCACTTCTCTCGCTGGGCTCTGGGAGGATTCCGTCATCGACAACATCGACGAGGAATACGAACGGCTTGTCGCACATCTTCACGACTGCGCCAAGAAGTCAGAACTTCCAAGATTACCAAGAAGCGTTTATCTCTGCAACCACGACATCAACCCTGATCTCTTTGAGAGCCACGTCTACCTGCCACCACACCGCTTGGGGCAGGATGTATACGTCGTTCCTGCAAATCTTCCTTCAAAAGTCTGACACGCTATCTCGTCGGTGAAGAACCGTACGGCACCACACCGACAGGATCAGACCCGAACATCTGAAGAATCCAGAACTCTGGCTCCACGCGCTGCCTGTCGGAATGCAAGGTACCCACCTCGTGGAAAACCAGCTGCAGTGTGTTGCTGCACAAGAAGGGAGACTTATGCGACATTGGCTATCGCCCAATCTTCGCTGTCTGTAGTCTACAAACTCTTCACACGAGTCATCCAGAGCAGGGTTGGCAGAACACTAGACGAAGGACATCCATGCGAGCAAGCAGGGCTTTGCAGAGGATACAGCACGATCGACAAAGCTCATCGAAGTATTGCGAGAGTACAAGATGCTATTATGTCTCACATTAATCGAATTGAACAAAGCCTTAGCTCGGTACATCAGGATTCTTCGTGAGCTCTAGAGCAAATTTACGACCAGAACCTCACCATTCTACGAGGAGATCATCATTGACGTGAAGAGAGGGGTCCGACAGGGCAACACCATCTCGCCCAAGCTCTTCAGCGCCTCTCTCGAGAACGTCATGCGTCAACTGGAATGGGAAGGCATGGGAATGGAGACAGGGTCGGCAACTATACCATCTCAAGCACTGGCTGACCGACATCGTCTTTAACACCAAATCGAGCAAGCGGAGCGAATGCTGGTTGATTTCGACCGTGAAAATCGGGCTGTCTAACGAAGACAATATTCATGAGGAACAGGTTGGTTCTTTATACCCCATTCACGCTCAACGAAACGACTATCACTGAATGCTCTGGCTATGTATGCCTGGTCGCATAGCTAGTACGATGAACGACTTAGCGCTGGAGCTGAGCAGGAGGAAGCGAGCGGCTTTTTTTTGTTTTGGGGGAGCTTCAAAGAAAGGGGGAAGTGAAGAAGGACGAAGAACACCAGCTCCTGCCCACGTTCTTCAATTCGCGGCCCTTTTTGCTTTGATTACGCTCAGAGACTTGGACTCTACAAAAGCAGGATGAGCATGCGGTGAGCATTAATCAACGCGCCATCGAAAGGCGATGATTCCCGCGCTGGCTATCAGGGGATGTCAAGCGAACAGTTGGGCGACTGGCGCCCACTGGCGGAATTTGATGATCAACGGGAGCACAGGTGATACAGGTGAAGTTCTTGGTGGCATAAAAGGGCGCGGCTACTTGACGTCTCTGCCCATCCATCTCCACGAAGAGAGGAAAGCAGTACTGCTATGTTGATCAAGGCACATTGCACGTTGAGGGTTCCAAGCGGAGGGGAGGGGGGAGAGGATCGTATTTGGTCGGTGTAGGAAGAAGGCGGGTCGTATTCGCCTTCGAGAAAATGTGTTTGTTGTGACTTTTCTCGTTTTAGCCTTCATTCAAAATGGTTGCAACCGCGCCTTGGTGCTACTCTTTCGAACGACGAAGCTGACTGAGCGCCAAGTGGTCTATGTATATGCAGCCTTAGGCATGAGAAGCCGACCTGCGAATCTGTACCTGATACTAGCATGGCTTGAGAGTATGGTAGTGGGATAGTGATAGTTGAAGCTGAGGTAGTAATAGCTGAATAGTGCCGGTATAGTGATATATATATATATATATATATATATATATATATATATATATATATATATATATATATATATATATATATATATATATATATATATATATATATATATATATATATATATATATATATATATATATATATATATATATATATATATATATATATATATATATATATATATATATATATATATATATATATATATATATATATATATATATATATATATATATATATATATATATATATATATATATATATATATATATATATATATATATATATATATATATATATATATATATATTTATTTATTTATTTATTTATTTATTTATTTATTATTTATTTATTTATTTATTATATGACCAAGGGAATATGCTTCCATAGATCTGGATTCGATCGAGAGACAGTAATTCGGGCTTTGTAAATGTGCATCGCATGGGGGGAGGGCTTTTCATGAGCGACTGCGTAGAGAACCCATCCACTAAGTTTTGAACTTCTCCATTCAAGTGGAGGTGATGCTTAATAATGAAAAGGAAGCATTATGGCACAGTCCTCATCATAGCGGACCGGTGGGGCGTGGCAGTGCGGCTGCTTTGGTGAGGTTTGGCAAAATTATTCTGGGCACCGAGTTTTCGAAGCGGGCAAGGGCATTACTGCATTATATCCTTCGTATTACGTTTTCTACCACTTTTTGTCGCATACGCGTTGCAACAAAAAAGGCTGAGAACGGCTCCAACAGTGTGCGCACTCCTTCTGCCTGGCACGCCCACGGTCGGTATGATGAGGCGATGCTTGATAATGATAAGGAAGCATTATGGTACCTCTGGCGATTCTTCAATTTTTTACATCAATCTCCGTGAACAAAGTAACTCCGTAAGCTCTCAGCTGGGCTCAGCAAGGCAGTAGGTCGATGCTTGTCTGTGAGGTTGCAATTGAAATCTTGGGATCACATAAACTATCGTAAGCATCGCTAAGGGACGTAGCCTCTTTGCTATTTACTTGGCAACTGGGCCTGTGCGGTTTTAGCTTTAAGGAAAAAGCACAAAAGAGCTGTCGAAAATGCTCTCTCGTCGACCTCACTCTCTAGTTTGAGCGCTTGAATATTGGTGTGAAGAGAGACTTTAAAAAGCTAAGAAGACTGCCGTACAGGGCAAAATATTCTCTACAGGCACCCTTCTTAAAGTTCTCTATCTCAGAGGTTAAGCTGACATCTTCCTCTCCCTTCGTGAGCAGGTAGACAGGCCGCAGAGACAGCGATTGCACCATTTTTGCGGCGCAAAGGTGAGGGAGGAAGGCGGAGACATTGTCGTTCCTCTCATTGACCCATTTTCATTGACCCCGCCCGCCGCTCTGCTATCCATAATGATAGAAGACCTGCTAAAGAACATTGGCAGAGACGTTATGGTAGCAGGAAATCAGCTGTGATCAAAGGCGCAACCACATCGACCAGAACAGCACTCGCTGAACTCCTGAGTTTCGACAAAAAAGGACGTCGGAAGATGTTAGCTAATGGAGGAATGGCAAGAGCCGCCAACTGTTAGATGAAAGCTGCTTGTACCATCTTCAGCACAATATTTTAAGTGAGAAAAAACGCCATTACTCATGAGCCAACCCAAGAGTTAGAGGTCATGGAACGCTTCCTTATCATAACCAGGCATCACCATCAGTTGATGTTGGACGTACGAAAGTTTGTAGGTAGGCTGCAGGCA